CCTAGTGTAACCTCACATACCTCCTATGACTATGGCATTTGTTAAAGAATGTAACTCATGATTAGCCCTTGCCTGTCCTATTTCTTATGAGAGAAAAAAAAATAATTTGACAGTGTAAATTTCAATCTAAATGTAATGTCCATGATTTATATGTTTCTCTTGGTCAAAAAATATCTCGCTCTCTCATGGAAATCCCTGCTCATGGTTAGGTTATATGCACGGTACGGTACGGTACGGTACTGAGCCCGTACCGCTACCGATACCGAAAATTTGAATCGGTATGGTACGGTACGGTACTATGGTTTGCCAAAATTGATACCGTACCGTACCGTGCCAAATCGGTATCGGTACGGTATCGGTACCATTTCGGTACCAAAATGATACAACTAAAAAATGAACTAATTCAATATTCAACACCAAAATAAGTGATGCCTAAGTTACAAATTCAAAGATTCAACATATTCAATATCCATTAACATTTTCAATATTCCATATCCATTAACATATTCAATATCCAAATCCTAATCAACATATTCAATATCCATCAACATATTCAATATCCAAATCAACCAAATCAATATTTATCCATCAACATATTCATCAAATCCAAATGGTTAAAACTCATGCATTATGGCTTACAAACCAAAAGAGTTAAACTTATGCCTTATGGCTTACAAAAATACAAACACAATCTAAACATAAATGACAAAAGCGTTTGAGAAATTGAAAGGCAAGCGAGAGACAGAGAGCGAGAGAATGAAAAAAAAAATTTATATTTCAATAGAGTACTATTCGGTACGGTACACCGGTATCAAAATTTTGATACCGCTACCATACCATACTCGATTGGTACGGTACGGTACGGTACCGAATATCTATCGGTACCAAATGAAACGGTATGAAATCAGTACGGTACGGTGCGGTTAGGGTACGGTTTCGGTATTTCGGTTTAAGATGCCCACCCCTAGTTATATGTAACCGGTGGAGATTGCACAAAGGAGGCGATCTACAAATTAGTTAGCAGAAGTCAATTGCATGCATTCAGTCAACACTTCAAATCATTGATTCCTAATTAAGCATCGCTGATTCACAGAAGTTTCAAATTTCTCACAGTAGCGCAGAAAAACAAGCACTGTTTATAATTTTCTTCATTGTTGTTGATAAGTTTGGTGATGAACAGCTCTTGAAAATAAATTGCAAGCCGTTTAATTTAGTCATTTTAGAAAGGTTCTTGATTATAATACTTTATGATACTCTATTTGAATACGAGTATCCAACTCAAAATTGATTAGCAATGAGTGAGATTCACACTCTCAACAATCTTAAGTCTATTTTGCATCGAAGATCAATTAACGATGAGAGATAAATACTTTCTAACACTACCAACAAAAAACCCTTGCGCGACGAAAAATTATTCGTCGCTCAATGTCACTTTGCGCGACGAAACTAAAAAATTTGTCACTCAAAGTCTTGCGCAAAGTGACTTGGAGCGACAAACTTTTGCGCGACGACAATACTTCGTCGCTCAAAGTCTTGCGCGATCAAACTTTACGCGACGAAAAACAATTTGTCGTGCAAAGACACTTTGCGCCACAAACTTTTGCGCGACAACAATACTTCGTCACTCAAAGTCTTGGGTGACCAAACTTTGCGGATGAAAAACAATTCGTCGCACAAAGTCACTTTGTGCGACGACAATACATTGTCGCTCAAAGTGACTTTGCGCGACGAAATAATAAACTTTGTTGCACAAAGTCTTTAGCGACGAAGTGTTGAGTGGCGCAAAGTTTTTACAAAAACAAAAAAATTATTATTTTTTTAATCTTTGCATGACGTAATCCAAATATTTCGTCGCCTAAACCAATTTATTTTTGTTTTTTATTTTGTATGCATTAAGTAGCTTTAAATTTATTATTTTAGTTCGCATCGGATTTTTGTCAGAAAAATATATTATTGTAGTTCAGATTAGGCTTTTGTTAGAATATATATATTTTAAATTGATGATCGAATTAATTCATTGTATTCATATAGGGTCAAGGAGTGTAGCTGTAAAAAATCATCAAAATCAAAATTAACATAACCGTTTAATCGTGATTTTTCATTTATAACCGTCGAAATGTGCTTTGCCTGTTTGTGGATGTGGTTGGAGGGATACCTTATTGTCTTGATGTTCTTGATGTATCCCTCATGTGTTTATATTTGTCCTTGTGGTCAGTGGCCTTTTATGGCTAAATTATGAATAAAAAATAAAACTACAATAAATGAATGTTGAGCCATGGCCGAAATATTTGCTACTTCTCTTATATTAATACATCTAGTTTGTTTTAAGTTGAAATGAACTTAGAGCACGATATTATTGTCTAAATTCTCTATGGATCTATTAATAATTAAAATAAAAAAAAAAGCTCGGGTGCTTATTTAAGAAAAAGTCTACTTAGTTAAAAGGATAATATTTTTCTTTAAAAGAAAACTAATATTGCTTGAATAATTAATTTCATGTGTACAAATTATACATAGACAAGCTTATGTTTTGTTTTAATGTCAATACTATAATAGTACAAGCTTACGTCATGAGTAGAAGGAGTTATAGCAAACAGAAGTGGGCCACGTCCTCTTCTACTCATGAACACCATGAGTAGGAGGAGTTATAGCAAACAGAAGTCTCGTGGTGGCCGACCACAATGGTTGGGAAAGCTTCAATACATAGACAAGCTTACGTCACGTAAACTTATCTTTCTTTCTAAACCGAATATTAACTTAGTTTTCTAAAACAAACCCAACCATTGTGGTCGGCCACCACGAGACTTCTGTTTGCTATAACTCCTTCTACTCATGGTGTTCACCGCCACTTGAAGCAGTCGAAAACACATAACTACATAAGAAAATTAAAATTTCTTTGAACTTTTATAATCAAAATTAAATTAAATAGGGTACGCTGTTATCTTTTGGATTTTTTTTTTTGGGTTTGTTTATAGAAATTAAATGGTGTAGAGTTTATCTATATCAATAGTGCTAAGAATGAGTATATAATTAAATATCTCTTCAAAGTACTATACTTTTGCTTGTACCTTAAAGTTTAGATAAGTAGAGTTTTACTTAGACTTCAAGGTAATAATATGATATGTTTTTAGGCTAAAACTTGAATGCATTTTATGTAAATTGTTTTTTTATTTTTGGGTCTTAAACTTGACGTGTCATGTACAAGATACTCAAGATTGATATTATTTATGTTGGAAATTTGGGGCCGTTTGGTATCATATTCAAACAGGGAACTCAAAAACCTTGATTTTTCTTAAAAATAAGAAGTTCTTAAATCTATTTTTAAGATTCAAAAACTTGTTTGGTATGCAACTTAAAAACTGCTTTCAAATCTTAAAAATTTGAGAACTTATGGGTTGTTAGAAAAAAATTGAAAAAACAGATTTTTTTTTTTTGTTTTGTTTTTTGTTTTGTTTTTAATAATTGGGGTGTTTTTTAGTTGTTCTTGAGTTTGAGTTTTTAAAAATACGACTACCAAATAGTTTTTTTTTGTTTTGAACTCAAATTCTGTTTTTGAGTTTAAAAAGTTGGATTCAAGTTGAATACCAAACATACACTATTTATTAATATTAATATTCCTATTTGAATGGAAATTAATAGAGTTCATTGGACCAGGGTTTTGTCAATTTTTAGAAGAGGTATCAAAGCACCTATTTATTCAATGGATGCATTAGTTGGTTTTTTATTTGGGACATACCCTTTTGGTAGTATCTATAAATAGAGTAGTCTTCTTGCAACCAAGAAATTGAATTGATTCAGTCAATGCATATCCATTTAAATACGTAGAGTCTTAGTATAGTCATTGATTATGGATGGTTCTGTAAGAGGGTTTCCTCTACAGAATCTCTAGTTCAAAGAGTCCTTGTGAATTATAGTACTTCTTTCACAAGGATAGGAGTCATTGTATCCTAAGAGGCGAGCGTCGGTAACCGTACGCACCTATGTGGGGCGTAATTCATCTTAAGGTCAGAGTGTCCAACATTTACCTCGACTCAATTATTCAAGTTCTTCTAATCCATATCATGTGATTTTTCATTGTGTATGCTTGTAAGTATGCGTTATTTTTTAAGCATAAATTGAATGATTAATTCTGAATTTTTGTGTGATTAAAATATAGCAATTAGACCCAATTTTTTCTAACAATCTTAAGACGAATTATATATGGTTTAGTTGCTATATTTTAAGTGATGTAAACTTAGTTTTTACTTAAACTCGTGGGAACAAATTTTTGTATGTTAATGTTAAATATTTCTTTGAGTTTGGGTTTCCTTTGAGAAGAGGAAACAAAAGATGGTTAGTATCTTTCCTTGAATACCCGTAGTCAGGGAAGCAAATAAATGTGTTTGTGTTTCCTATGCGTTTGAACATTGAATTTTAGTATCAATTACTTAACCTACATGTTTTACATGCATTAAGATGAAAAGGTGCAAAATGGTTTGCATCTGTAGTCAGCATCCGTGTAGTGAATATATGTATATTGGCATCATTGATTTTGAATATGATGCATATAACAGTTTTACTGCATCGTTGACTTGAGATTATAAATTAGTTGCTTTTATAATGTGCCTAATTTAATTTCAACTGCACTCTATTTTTAAGTTGTTTCATATTGTGACTCTTGGATATGTCGTTATCAATTAAGAGTTGTCATGGCCTGTGTATATATTTGTGGCAGTTCCATGAGTTGGAACAAAATCTTGTATGTAACTTTTCAAACGAAAAGTTACTATGATAGTCACCATGAAGAATTGTAGACCAAACTAAGTGGTTTCTAGTTCCACTTTCATTATGCAGATTTGGATGCCTTCAAAATACTGTTTTCTATCATAAATGGGTCTTAAGGCTATGAAGATGTCCACGGGTTACATAAAACCATATTTTGGGTTGAGTTGATGTTTGTTAGAAAATTTGATACTTTTTCGAAAGAAGTACGAAATTTTATTGAAAATTGATTTACGAAGTAATACAATCTTGGCATAAAAGATCCAAGATGACATCCCGCGGCTCCGCTAACCAAACTACATCATTTGACATACTCAAAGCATAATGACCTAAACGATGTGCTACCCCATTACAAAGCCAGGGAGCATGGGAAAGTCTAGCATACTGAAAGTGGGAGAGAATTGTTGATATTGGCTCACCTAAAGATGTGGAAGGAGTAAAGGAAACAAAAGGTCAAAAGAGCTGTAGTCATTTTGACTGGGCTCTGCCTCCCGAATGCCTGTACTTCTCGACCAGACCAGGCACTTTAGCACTTGCTTGAGCAGTAGAACTTAGACTCGAACTGACATAGGCACTCAAGCAGCACAGTGGCACTGAACTAGGAGGCTCGAATCCAGCGTGTATCCCTGGCTAATCTGAACATATTTTCTTCTAGTTTTGGGTCCTTTAAGTTTTCTATTCCTTGTATAATTATACTAAAGCCCTATAACATATAAATAGGCACTTTAGCATTATAGGTTATTGTAACATGAGAAAGCTAAGGCATCAAATTGGGTTCGAGCCAAGGGTGAGAGAAAAGAGAGCTAGGGTTTGTGAGAGATCAAAAGGGGTCCTTCATTGTAACCAAAGGGGTTCTTTCATACTAGTGAATTTCTCGAGGATCACCAAAATGATGTAGGCACAACGCTAAACCTTTATAAATTCTTGTGTTCATTGTGTGCGTGTTTACTTTTCAGTTTGTGTGTACTTGTCTTTGTGTGGCTTGTGTGTGATAGTTGCGTAGTCCATCAACAACAAGGGCTTGGAGTGTTTTAGCACAACAAGTGGTATTAAAGCCAAGTTACAGCGAGTATAAATTATGCCCAAGTGCTCTTACCACTTTAAGAGTAACGATGTATTAAAGATGGCGGGCGACAAGGAAGCAATAGGAGAAAGCTCCCAAACAAAGACACCACAACATATGTCAAGTACGAAGGTCGAGTTGAAGCCATTCACTGGCAACGAGAACTTCACTCTTTGACAAAGGAGGATGAAGCACTTCCTTAAGCAGCAAGGTTTCAGCTTCATTTTGGCAGGCAAGGAAAAAAAGCTAGACACCATGACGGATGCCGAATGGGAAGACCAAGATGAGCTTGCTAGAGGATTTATTGAACAACGCCTCACTAACGGAGTGTTGTGTAATGTGATATAAGATATCGTGAAGTAGACATGGGAGAAGCTTGAAGAGTTGTTTGCGTCAAGATCATTGTCCTACAAGTTCTTCTTAAAAGAGGAGCTCCACTCTCTAAAGATAGAGGAGAGCACAAACATGATGGAGCATGCCAGTGTATTGCGGACTTGCAAAGAGTGGATGAGGTTTATAAGTCAGAAGACAAGGTCGTGATGTTGTTGACATCCCTGCCTCTATTTTATAAGCTCTTCCGCATGACACATATGTTCGGCAAGGGAACTTTCAAGTATGAAGTGGTCATGCAAGACATACTGATACGTGACAGGATGCTTCAACGTTCCTGAGATAGCTCTCAAGGTGTAGGTCTCGTGGCAAGGACTAGAAGGCGGGGTTGTTCAAGCAAGCTCAGAGGCAAGTCGAGCAATGGTGGGAATTTTAGATTCGAGGAAGATGAAGGAGTGTAGGTCTAAGGACTATTGGAAGCAAAATTGTTTGGTATGGAAGGATAAGCGGAACAAGATGAAGGATGCCAAAAGTTCAGGCGCAACAAACGTGTCATCACCGATGACGAACTTTTGATGGTTACAGATGAGAAGCGTAACAGGGAAGTCTTGGCAAATTCTTTGGGTATGAGTTTTGTTTCAGTTTGGGTTCTAGATTCCTGTTGTTTGATTCATGTGTGTTCAAATAGGAAGGAGTTTGATACATATGAAGAAAGGGAAGGTAGCAAGATTTCGTTGGGAGACAAAACAAGTTGTTAAGTTTTGGACGTGGGAACATTAAAGATCAAGATGCATGATTGTGTTGTTAGGAGCCTTAGTGAGGTGAGACATGTACCGGAACTAAGATGGAATCTAATTTCGCGCAACGCTCTAGATAGAGAAGGGTATTTGTACAAGGCCAAAGAAGAGAAGCTCTCAGTTACACAAAGTTCGGTGGGGATTATAAGGGAGATATTCAACCTAACAATGTTTATCAGCTTTGGGAGGGGGGGGTACAATTATAGGTGGAGAGGAAAATTCTACCAAGGAGGTGCTTTGCACCAAAGAAAAGCACACAAGGGATATCACTGTCAAGGAGCCAGTGCAACGGAAAGAAACTACAAATGTGCTCAAGACAAGTTGAGAAAGGAAGATTAATCAAGATTGTATGATTAACCGTTTATCATCAAGAGTGTTGAAATATAAGTGTCTTAGCTGAAATATTTTTACAAATTTATAAATAAACTCAATCCTAGACATGTATTTATAAAAAAACCCAAGCACTATTTAAACATAGAAACACACCCAAAATTAACCCCAAAGTCAACTTTTTGGGTGTGTTTATAAATGAGTTTTGAGTGTGTGTAATGATGGGTTTTGGGTGTGTGTTTATGTTTAAATAGTGCTTGGGTTTTTTTATAATTTTAACCCCCATTTTGGGTGTTTTAGTGAAACTCCCAAATATTTTTGTACTTAGTTTAATTTTTAGTATTTCAAATGTAAGCCATTGGATTACATTCCAATGGACAGCTAAGATGAAGTCTTAGAGTTAAGAGTCAACTTATGCCACTCGTCACTATCTTATAGGGTAGTTGATTGAATGGTTAGATTTGGATGATGTAATGGGAATATTCTATTCCCAACGGTTAAGTGTGTGCACAGTGATTGTGTGTCCGATCAATGAAGAAATAGCTCATCTTTGTTTCTCCTTCAAAGCTCTCTCTCACTCAGCAAGTCTCTCAGAAAAACTTTACTCATTCAAAATCATTTGTAGAATGCAAGTTATAATTCAGATCGTAGTCTGAATTCTAACAGGACTGTCCATAAGATCATTCACTCGTAAATCTTCGAAAGAATCATGTGGGGGAGGGGTAAACACACTGCAAGTTTTGGGCCTTGGAATCCACCGATCCTGCCACACTGAAATTGACTCGCCATTACCCACCTGCCAACGGGACCCGTGCTCAAACACTGTTCGAGCTTTAAAGATACTGCTCCAGCAATAAGAAGGATTTGAGCCCAATGAAGCCTTCTAGAAATCAACACCGTATAGTACTCGGCTTAAAACAAACGAGCTACCAACGAATCTGGTTTCATAAGCAAATTCCATGCCTGTTTGGCTAATAAAGCATAAATAAAGGCTCTAAGATCCCGAAAACCAAATCCACCCACTCTTTTTGGCTGGCAGAATTTATTCCAGGAAAGCCAATGAATTTTGCGTTTTTCCCCATCACCACTCCGCCAAAATTTAGCAATAATACTATTTAGCTCATCACCTAAAGTTTTAGGTAAAAAAAAACAGTTCATAGTGTAAATTGGTAGAGCTTGTGCTACAACCTTCACTAGAATTTCTCTACCAGCTCAACTTAAAAGCTTGCCTCTCCAACCCACCAGTTTCTTCCATAATGGTACTTGTCATGAACGGCAACGCATTCCACTCCAAACAAATCTGTAAACTCCTTTCTTGATGCCTCTTCAAAAACAACGCTGCTCTTGTGGAGATTTATCACCTGCCCAGATACCAACTCATAGGTTTTAAGAATTTTCAAGACTAGCACTCTTCCCGTGAGGCACTTGCAAAACTGAACTATCATCCGCAAATAAAAGATGATGAATGCTAGGCGCATTAGCACAAATTCTCACTCCATGTAATTGTCCCTGGAGAGAGGTTGGATTTATTATGATCTTTGTTATTTATACCTCACCTTAAACTCTACCAAAATTTATCACTCAATAAAATCCTTCCAAATATATGACTTTTTAAATACACCTAGATTTTATTGAACTTTTTTATAATCCTAATTTAATACACCCATATTTGTATGAACTTTTTAAAAATTCATACAAGTCTGAATTGAATACACCCAGACTTGTAGAAACTCTTTTAAAGTTCGTATAAATCCAAATTGAACCTGGATTTTTTAAAATCTTTTAAACGCTCTAGAATCCTAATTGAATGCACACCCCAAACTCATCTTAACTTAGATGGAGGGAGAATCAAATTTGAGTATAAGAAAACAAACACACTGCGTCCTAACCCACATATGCCATGAACATGTAGATTGAGCGAAACTCTTACTAACCAAAACTAAAATTAAAAATTTATTCAAGATGTACAGGAAAATTAAGACAAATCATCAGCCACACATAAATACTATTCAGTTTAGAAACTCAAAAGCAATGGAAGGCTCTCGGCCCTTCCATCAGTAAGAACATTGCTGTATTGAATAAGAAGTCTATAATAAACGCACCGAGAGGACAAACCAAAGTTTACAATATACAAAATCATTACAGGGGAATTAAAATGAGTAACAAATCGATTGTCCATAGATTGAGTTTTCTAATAGAGTAGAACATAAAAATGTGCGAAGCTTTTCAAAAGTAGTAAAACTAAAAGAGAATATTGGATGGATGCGAGGCACAACCACAGTAAGAATTTACAGGATTATTACTGGAACCGAGTATACGTATTTTTCTTCCATGTACACCTCAGAAACTTGAACCGTTGAATACAACTAGCAGGAGTTAAAATTTATAATCAATGATAATTTCAAAATCCCCAGGCGTAAAGAATACAAAGATGATATGACACACTGTAAGAACTTGACAAGCTTGCCAAAAGAAATCTCAGCAATTCACTCCAAATGCAGCAAAACAAAGAATCTGCAGGATTCCTCCTAGAACATTGCAAAGTGTTCGATATTTTACTTCAATATACACCAAAAAGATTTGAACCCTTAACCACTGGAACCCCCTTTCATATAGATTGACTTTGATTTTCTCGAAAGTCATTGTTCCTTACCGCAGTAGAAACTATAACAAGAAGCGGAGGAGTCAAGATCTGCAGGAAGGTAGCGTGACGCCTCCACAACAAACAGCAATTATAATGTACAGAAGCACAACAATCAAGCATGTCAACAGGGCCCTGTCACAATTAGACAACCTTCAGTGCACTGAACTGGAAATGGGAATACTAATCAAACAAGTCATGGAAATATGAAATATATCATGTAGCTTTTTCTTTACAACTATCGGCAAGCACAGGAGCCATAACAGAGTAAGTAAAATCTTTTAGTTTTTTAAGCGCCTAGTGATTTCGGAGTTCGATATGTGATCAACATATTTGATCCTGTTGTGAAGTCAACATTTTACTCCTTACCACTTAATTAGAACAGAATAATCATGTTCAAATTGAAACCACAAAAAAAAAAAAAAAAAAAAAAAGCTGATGCATTCAAAAAATTGCAGTGGCCACAACTTGATGGTTTTGGGGTTAAATAAAACCAAAATGTCATTTTCAGATGGCACTGGGCATAACGGACTACAGCTTCATAATAAACTTAAGAGCATCACATTGTCACTTGTGAAATTAAAATTCATATGCATGGGGTGATAAGGAGGACATGTAACCTAAGAATGTGTCTTTTTCGATAAACTAAGAAAATCCCTAGTCACCATTAGGAAAAAAATAAAAGTTTGTTATCTTAAGAAAGATAAGACTGGAAAAATAAAATTCAGCAAGATGGTTTGAGTTCACTTGAATTGCAAACTATGTTTGGTCACTGAAATCAGGGATGGAATGGATTTGAGATTCCATGGAAATTGTGAGGAGTTGGTTAGACAAAGTAATAAGAAATCGAATTTCATTTCAAATCCCCTCAAAGTTTGGGGAGAGCCATTCCTTCCCTGAGTGGGATAAGAAAGTTCTTTAAAACAAAACCAAAGGTTGCTGGACAGTTCCTACACACTTGAAACACCCCTCTTCTCTCACCTCCACCTTGCCTACAACTTTCCCCAATCAGTTTGCTGTTGATTCTCCACTACTGAAATTGTTTCTAGCTTCAACATCACTTGGGTCCACGGTCCACTCCCTTCAAATCAGCTTCCCATCTTCAAATCCATCCCCTAACACCTCAGTTTCAAAGCCTTACACTTTTTCAAAAAATTTCCAATCAACATAATTAAAGTTATGGCCCCAACAAAGGTAGGAATTTTCTTTTCCTTTCCAGAAAACAAAGGTCGGAGTTTTTTGCTGTCATGGTTATTGATTTCAGGCTTGTGATTGCAAATGTATATTAGTATTAGGAGCCTAACTCCCATGCAATTAGCTTTCCTGTTTTCCCTTTACAAATTTTCACCTCTGTACTTTATTTCTCAATGAAATATTCTTCTAACCTTTATTTGGTCTGAGGAAAAGACTTCATCAAAGATAAATTTTATGTGAATTTTCTTAACTTATTGTTGAATTCGAACCGCCCTTTTTTTTTTTTTTTTTTTTTTTTGGGTGGATAGGATTTTAAGTTCTGGGTCATTGCTGTTGCCTTCAGTGTATTCAGTTTCTTACCTTTTTTGTTTTCAAATTTGGGTTTGATCATTAATAAATTTTCTCATGGGGAAATTATCACTTTTGTTTAATAAATTCTCACTCCACAGATGAAACATTCCCATCACCAGGTATTTCTCTTTAACTATGTTTGTTTACCTTTTCCCGGCCTCGAAATGGTGAGCTTATTCAAGGTACCATTAATATTAATCATTTCCTATTATTTTCAAAACTTGAACATATTCCTAAAGATATAAGTCTACGTCATTTGTGTAAATCAAAATAACTTACAAGAGCTTGGCATTTTTCATCCACAGAGCTCGACGAAGCCGTTTGGACTGCTTCTTGAAGTGAAATGCACTATCTTGCATAGTTGCAGTTTTGTCAACAAGAAGCTCAATTCGGTCACCCCTCTCCAATATCTTTTCTATGTTGTCCACCATTATAGTTCTTATCTAGACATACCAAAATTTAAGTGACTGTTAGAACAAACCAAACACAGAACAAGAAATGCATTGAAGGATGAAACACAAACAAAAGATAGAAGAAAAAACAAAGGGGCAGCAAAATCAGAAATATATTGAAAAGGGAAAACAAAAGGTTTATAAAGCCTACGAAATACCATATCACTTGAATGCTACAAAGCATATAACTACTTTTATATAAAATATCGTGCTTTGAGACTGCAAACTAGCTGTGAAAGTTCAATAAACAAATGAATGTGTCAAAAAATCTTTGAATGGACAACACCAATTGACTTGCTTTCTAAATGACAGATGTGTTTTCCTCAAATACTTGTTTAAGCAACAGGCAAAAATGACATGTAGCAAGTGAAGCTTCCTTATTCCCAGACAAAAATAATTGGCAAATAGTAGAACAAACAAGTTAGAAAGACCAAATGACAATCAAAATTCCAGAGAAGCACATAAGACTTGCCTCACCAACTTCGCCTCTCACACGGTTGAGAGTATCAGCGCTAGGATTGCTGGAGAAAAACTCCATCTGCTGATGCAAAACCCTCGAAAACTCATCATTCATTGCATAAGCAGGAGCATAAGGGGCCACTCTGCCATAATTTTTCATAAATCTCATATGAATATCCTCCAAGTATGAAAAGGGTATTCTCCCTGCATCAAAACAAATACACCAATATACTCAAAGACCATAAGATCCAGAAAAAGAAAGCACCAAAATTGAATTCCCAAAGCGAAATTGAAGAACACAATTGAAGAAAATACGTTACGCACTGCCGAAGGTGTCGTTGGCCATGCAAAGAAAAGTGAGGCCATCGGATTTGAGTATGTGGAAGATGTACCGATCCTGAGAGAAGCAAACCCTAGAATCGGCCTCCGATGGAAGCTTTTCCAAGATGCGCCGAGCCACTGCCCCTGTGTTCCCTGTGACCGCACTGAACTCGGCCAACACGATTGTTCCTCGAGCCACCACCGCGTAGAGAATCGCCATCTCTGCTTCGGATCTTCAGGGCTTAGGGTTTGGGGCTCTGAAAGCTCTCTACTTCGATCGCGATCGAAGTCTCATGGAGCTGTTTGAATTCTGATTTACTGCTTATTTTATATTTATCTTTTTTTAAATAAAAAAAAAAATTATGTTTTGTTGTTTTGTTAATGTTATTGGAAGAGGAAAGGGAAGTTGAAAGTTGAAAGTGAAGGCGGGGAAGGTGAAGAAATTTGTTGTCACCGGTGAGTCCACGGGGCGCTAAGGTGTAGTGTTTGATAAACTAACAGCAGATCGCACAAAGAGTCCGTGGTACTTTCTCAGGATCGGAAGTAGGAATGGTTTAAGTTTTATTTTACAGATGTAATAAGTTGGATGAAACTTATATGACTCAGATTTAAGACAAGTGTCCAGCTTACATTGCTGGATCAATTGTAAGGCTGAGATCACATTCTCAGCATTGTAAAAGGAATGTTCTGTTAGAAATGAGAGCACTGTGCACTGCCATGTTTTGTGCATAGCAACGAACCTTTGAGCATTACTGTGTAGCCATTCTTTCTCTGCATTTTTCTATTTTCTTCAATTCATCTGGTTTTGTGTGAGCTGATGCATTGTGTGTGCAAGTTCTGATTGAAATCTCAACATGGTAACAAGAGCCTGGTTACGACTCTGTATCTAGGCGTCGTGAAATCAGAATCGGAGTTGAGGAAATCCAAAGCTTATAACCTCTATCTCATGGATTTGGTCTCAGATGGCTGGATCTGGAATGGGTGAGCTTCGTGCCCCCATTTTCAATGACAACAATTATGATTTCTAGAGAATCAAGATGTGTACGATTTTCAAATCGCACAAACTCTGGGATATGGTGGAACAAGGGTTTGAGAATCCTGTGAAGAAAGAAGACGGTGTGTTTTGAGTGCAGCTCAGAAGCTTGCACTGGAGGAAAATGTAGCAAAGGATGCTAAGGCGTTGGGTCTGATTCAGAGTGCAATCTCTGATGAAATTTTTCCCAGAATCGCTCTACAAGAATCTGGCAAAGCAGCTAGGGAGATTTTGCAAAAGGAATTTGGAGGAGATAAGAAGGTACGATCTATAAAATTGCAAGCACTTAGAAGGGAATTTGAATACTCGTATGCAAGATAATGAGTCTCTATTTGGGTATATAACCAAATTGCTTGAGCTTGTAAATGAAATGAAGTCTTATGGAGAGGATATTTCTTATCAAAGAATCGTACATAAACTTTTGATTAGTTTATCTAGAGAATATGATTTTATTGCAGAGGTGATAGAGGAGACTAAAAACACAGAGACTATAGGAGTTCAGGAGGCTATTGGCTCTTTGAAATCCCATGAACAACGGTTGCAAAGACACACTGAGAAACTGACAGTTAAGGCTTTCTCTAGCCTAAGTGTGAACCCCAGAGATGCTGCACAAGATGGGAGTTCTAAGTCCAAGAAGAATTGGAAATCATAAAACAAGAAGAAATGGGAGGGGAAGTCTGGAAATACTTTCAAAAAGGAAAATCAGAATGAAGGAGCTAAGGGTCCTTGCAAAATCCGTGATAAATTGCATTATGGTGTTTGTTGGTTTAAAGGCAAACCTAAATGCTATAAGTGTGAAAGGTTTGGTCACTTGGCAAAGGATTGCAGTAGGAAAACACCTCAGGCAACTCATTATGCAAAACACATGGAGGAAGAAGGGACAATGTTCTATGCTTGCCATGCTGCCTTTGTAATCAAGAACAGTAGTGTGTGGTATGTGGATAGTGCTTGTAGCAACCATATGACCTCACATGAATCTCTGCTCACTGATATAGACACCAATGTGACTGCAAAAGTCAAGATGGGAACTGGAGATCTTGTTCAAGCCACTAGTAAAGGCACTCCAGTGATTGAAACGAAATCTGGACCAAGGCATATAAAGGAAGTCATGCTTGTACCAAGGTTGGATGAGAATCTGCTTAGTGTTGGACAGATGATTGAGCATGGATATTTCTTGCTCTTTGGTGATTCTATAGTGGAGATATATGATGACAAGTCACTGAAACACCTTGTGACTAAGGTTCCAATGACTGGAAACATATGTTTTCCTCTCTCCCTTCAGTATGCAAATGCGGTAGCTATGAAGGCAACAATTAAAGAAACTACATGGTGTTGGCATAGAAGATGTGGTCATCTAAATCTTTCTAACTTGAGAATGTTACAACAGAAAGAATTGGTGTATGGACTGCCGGAAATTGGTGACTTAGAGAAGGTGTGTCAAGGTTGTGCAATGGGGAAATCACACAAAGAGGCATTCGATAAAGAGAAGGCATGGAGAGCAAGAATGCCATTAGAGCTCATACACTCAGATGTGTGTGGACCAATGCAATCCACTACCATTGGAGGTAACAAGTACTTCTTAACCTTTATTGATGACTGCACCAGAATGTGCTGGGTATATTTCATGCAATTCAAGTCTGAGGTATTTAATATCTTCAAGAAATTCAAAGCTATGGTAGAACTGCAAAGTGGCTATAAGATTAAGAAGCTTAGAACTGACAAGGGTGGGGAGTACACCTCAACTGAATTTATGAAATTTTGTGAGGATGTTGGAATGGAAAGACAGCTTACTGTAGCCTACTCACCTCAGCAAAATGGGATAGCTGAAAGGAAAAATAGAACTATAGTGGAAATGAGTAAAGCAATGATGCATGAGAAGAAGTTGCCTTATAAGTTTTAGGGAGAGGCAGTAAACACAATTGTTTACATTCAAAACCGATGTCCAACTAGAGCTTTAAATGATTCAACTTCATTTGAATCATTTAGTGAGAGAAGCCTGGAATTAAACATCTGAGGGTATTTGGTTCTGTTTGCTACTGTCATGTACCTAATCAATTGATGTCCAAATTGGATGACTCGGCAACTAAATGTATTTTTGTTGGTTATGGTAAGTGTGAGAAGGGATACAGGGTCTACAACTTACAAACTAACAAGATTGTTGTTTCTAGGAGTGTAATCTTTGATGAAGATTCTCTGTGGGATTGGGAAAATCAGAGTGTGCAGCACATCTCAATTCCCATGAGTCTTGAAGATGGTACAAGAGACACTGCCATGGAGAGTGAACTTTCAGACTCATCTCCATAGGAAACTCAGTTTGAGAACTCAAGTTCTTCTATATCTAAAGCAAAAAATGTCACACACAGTGAAACTCCTGTGAAACTTAGAGACATTGCTGAGATTTATGCAAGATGTAACATGAGTGTTATTGAACCAGAGAATTATGAAGAAGCCTCATAAGATACTGCTTGGAAGAAAGCAATAGAGGCTGAAATGGAGATAATTGAGAAGAATGAAACATGGGAATTGGTTAACAGACCAATGGAAAAGCCAGTAATTGGTGTCAAACGGGTTTATAAAACCAAGTTGAACCTTGATGGTTCAATACAGAAGCATAAAGCTAGGTTGGTTGTCAAGGGCTATGCACAAAAGCATGATATTGACTTTTATGAAACTTTCGCTCTTGTAGCCAGATTAGACACAATTAGGACTCTTATTGCATTGATAGCTCAAAAAGGATGGAAGCTGTACCAATTGGATGTCAAGTCTGCTTTTCTGAATGGAGTTCTTAAGGAAGAAGTGTACATTGACCAGCCAGATGGGTTTGTGATTGAGCATTCTGAAGACAAAGTGTATAAACTAAAAAAAGCCATGTACAGTCTAAAACAAGCGCCAAGGGCATGGTATGAGGAAATTAACTCTTATCTCATTGATTGTGGATATGTAAAAAGCTCTAGTGAAGCAACTCTCTATTGCAAGACAAAGGAAAACTCTGGAGCACTCATTGTATCGATTTATGTTGATGATATAGTGTATACATGAAGCAGTGAAGAATTGATTGCATATTTTAAGTCTGAGATGATGAGAAGGTATGAAATGACTGACTTAGGTGTATCATTTTCTTGGCATGGCTGTGATTCAAACTGAAAATAGTATTTTCAAAAGTCAAAAGAAGTATGCATTGACTTTGTTGAGCAAGTTTGGTTTGAAACAATGTAAACCTGTTAGTACTCCTCTGGTAGCAAGTGAGAAATTATGCAAAGCTGATGGAAGTGATCCTGCATATGAGAATGAACATAGGTAGATTGTGGGAAGTTTGTTGTAGTTAATAGCTACAAGGCCTGACATAATGTTTGCAGCTAGCTTATTAGCTAGATTCATGCATTGTCCTACAAAGAAACACTATGGAACAGCTAAGAGGGTGTTGAGGTATATCCAAGGCACAATTGATTATGGTATTGAATACCAGAAGAGAAAAGAAGCTGTATTAATTGGATACTCTGACAGTGACTAGAGTGGAAGTCAAGATGACATGAATAGCACTTTTGGATATGCTTTCTCATTTGGAAGTGTAGTGTTCTCTTGGGCATCTGTCAAGCAACACAGTGTTGTTCTTTCCACAGCTGAAGCTGAATATGTTAGTACAAGTGAAGCTACTACTCAAGCTATATGGTTGATGTTTGTGCTTGAAGACTTTGGAGAATTGCAGACAGAGGCAACTCCGTTAATGGTAGATAACACCTCTGCGATTGCAATGACAAGGAATCCAGTTTTCCATCAAAAGACCAAACACATTAACCGCATATACCATTTCATTCGAGATGTTTTGCAAGAAGGTGTGGTGGATCTAAGATACTGCAAGTCTGAAGAGCAAGCAGCTGACATATTCACTAAAGCTTTGTCTAAGGATCGATTCAATTACTTAAGAGGTCTGCTTGGTGTTA